CACTATAGTCAGTACTACAGTATGCTGTAGTATAAGTTAACAAAGTGTAGTAAATACTATAATATACTACAGTATACTCTAATTTACTACAGTTTACTACAGTTTATAAACTCACTATAGTCAGTACTACAGTATGCTGTAGTATAAGTTAACAAAGTGTAGTAAATACTATAATATACTACAGTATACTCTAATTTACTACAGTATACTGTAATTTACTACAGTTTATTTCAGTACGTTTCATGTGGGCAGGAGGAAGGGGTGTTTTGAGCTTCAGTACAACTTCTTAGCCGTCTGAGCATTTAGCTGAAGCGTTTACACGCATCATCTGAGAGCCAATGACGTGCGAGGTGGAGCACTTCTGGGTGAAATGCATTTCCTGTAGATAAGACACATCTGATGATAAAGGCTCTGCATACTTCCCCGGGCCACCCGTGTGCCTGCAGCACCATAGACCTTTATCTGAAAGCATCTGAACATCTGGAGCGCCTCCTCTCAAATGCTTTCGCAATTATTGCCCTGACAAGGCATGACAAGATGGAGGAACAGCTGTGTGAGGTGCCTGCTACGGGAAGCACCACTGTCACTGTTATTCACACTGGAACAAACCCCAACTAACCCTAATAAAACTCTTAACCCATTCCACACCGTGTGTGTTTCGCACCTGAATGACCTCAGTCACACACCCTTCACTAGTGACTATAAAAACCCATTGCTATTAAAGGGATAGTTCACCCAAAAATGAAAATTGTGTCATTAATTACTCGCCCTCATGTCGTTCCAAACCCATAAGACCTTCGTTCATCTTCGAAACACAAATTAAGATATTTTGAAGAAATCCAAGAGCTCTCTGACCCTCCCATAGACAGCAATACAACTGCAATGTTCCCAGGCCCAGAAATGTAGTAAGGTCATTGGTAAAATAGTCCATGTGACATCAGGGGTTCAAGTTGATGTGTTAGCAGATATTAAACAGACAGTCCACTAATACTATCATTATTTTTTAGCTGCATGTAGTTGCAAACTTATTTACTGTATAGTTAGAATGTCTGAAGTGGACTATCAAATATGAAGTGTTAAATAATACAATTAAATATTTGCTTCTTTTTTTGTGTGGAATACATATACAGTATTCTGCAAAAGTCGTAGGCCACTTGCATTCTCAGCAGCTAAAAATGGTTTTAAGTCAGTTATTTCTATCTTTTGCTGTAGTGTGTCAGTAGGAAATATCAGTTTACATTTCCAAGCATTCATTTGGCCATTAATTGTAATAATGCAGTGAGATGTTTGTGCTGCACACAGAGATCTGATCTGATCATCATCAGTCTGTCTGAGATTACATGAAGAAACAGAACAAACTGAGACAGACTCAATCCAGAAGAACTGTGTCTCCGAGACGCTTCAAGAAACCTCCTGCGAAGTATTGCACATATTTGAAATTTGTCAGAACATATGGCTACATTTGAATGGCAAAAAGTGGGAAACAATGCATTTTGCCCTCATGATGGTGTAGTTATGTGATCACCAGCAGGGCCTGACGGGACTCGGCTCATGCATTCATGCTCATACTCTCTACATTCCTACAGGCTTTAATCACAACGCATTATAAATAAGCATGGGAAATCTTCGTTTATTTACGAGTGCAATTGCTGCTCTAATGCTCAGTGTTTCCTGATGGGTTTCTGATCAGTTTAAAGTTCATGGCATGCCATTTTTAAAATGTTCCTTGAGCTTCACATGATGTTAGTGAACTTTTTGGCACAAGACACAGTCCTAAATTCACAAATCATGAGTGTTTTCCACCCTCATTCTGCATGTGTCACAGTGTGGAGGAAGAATAAAAAAAGTCATGTTGGCAGCTTGTTTTTAACAAATGCTCTTTCTGCAGAGAGGAGGAGTTTTTGAGGACTCAAACATACAGTATTTTTGTTATAGAGGGTTTGCATTGATGTCACTTCCTCTCAGTCAGACGCAGTGACAAAACATCCTGCATCTTAGCTGGCGCTAATAGAGGAAACTGAGAAAATGGGAGTGAAACAAAAGCTCACCTGCTGAAGTTAAAGGGTTAGTTCACCCAAAAATGAAAATTAGGCTGCGTTTTACTCACCCCCGAGGCATCCTAGGTGTATAATAAATAAATTTGACTTGACATGGTGCTTGTTCTACTTCAATATGATTTCTTGGCTAAACTAAAGTGATACTCTGTCTTAATATTTTTATTATCATTTAGATATTATTAGTTTTAATTAGTCTTAATTTTCAGTTTTTTATTTAACTTTAAAGTTTAATTTTGTTATTTTCATAATTTTTGTCAGTCTTTTAATGTCTATAAAGTTTTTCGTTTTAATTTTAATACATTGAGTTAAACTAAATGAAAATGTGAAATGTTGCCTTGGCAACTAGCTGCATTTAAAAAAAAACATTTTATTATTTCAGTTATCATTTCTTTTAGTTTTTGTATAGTTTTCATTTTAGTTAACTATAATAATCCTCTTCGCTAACACTAACCATGCTTTTTGTGGAATACAGTTACTTAGTGAACATACATTTTGACAAAAACTTTACAGTTACATAGAAAATTTAAGATTTACATAGAAAAGATTCAAAATATTTAACTGCTGAGTAACTGCATACAATATGTAAGCAACATGATTTTACAACAAAATTCAACATAAACAACATAAAACTGCAAATCCACATTTGCCAGATTCCAGCTTTCAGCAATCTGTAAAAAGGCAGCTCAGATTTCTTGTTTTACCTACAGTAAGTGTTCAGTCTGTCACACAACAGCTCCTTCACATTTTAGACGTGTTTTTGCCTCAGTCAAGCCGAACATTGACGCAGCCATTCAGTGTTTTTCACACTCTCTGGAGACTCACATATAATAATAATAATAATAATAATAATTCATTACATTTATATAGCGCTTTTCTAGGCACTCAAAGCGCTTTACATTGTCAGGGGGTATCTCCTCAACCACCAGCAGTGTGCAGCATCCACCTGGACGACGCAACGGCAGCCATAGTGCGCCAGAACGCCCACCACACACCAGCTTACTGGTGGATTGAAGCCAATCAGCAGACATGTCTTAAATGCCATATATCATGACTCCTTTACAATGAAATTGGTTTTTGAGAGGTATTTGTGAGAAACTCATAAATGCAAAAATACATTCGGCGTGACTGAAGCAGTGCTAGTAAAGTGTATTTGATGGATTGCCGATCTTGAGGAAGTGTTCATCAGCTCTGTTGTAACACCTTGTAATCTGCCTCGTAATCAGCATCCTGACAGAAATAGAGCAACGCAAGTGATTGACTATTTTACAGAAAACATCTCCACACAAACAGAATGGACAGCTCCTCATGCATCTTTATGATTTCATGTTATGGAATTAGATTTTTTGACAGTCTACTAAAAATCTCCTTTTGTGTTCCACAGAAGAGAGAATGAATAAAAAATGGAATAAATGACGTCAGAATTGTCAATTGGGGTGTATTGTTCAGTTAAATGAGAAGATATAGTTATAAAAACCATTGTAAATGTAAAAGAATAGCGGTGTCCACACCAATGTTTCAGCTGATGAACGATAAAAACTCTGCTCCAGATTACAGGGTTTAGGCCTGTACTTCCCTTCACACAGCAAACGCCGCCCACGCTGGGTGTGTGGGCTCTGACAGCTCTAAAAACAGAGCCCTGCTTTCCTGACCGAGAGAACAGGATTTTACCTTATGAGCTTGAGGGGAGGTGAAGCGAGTTCACACGTTGTTTGGTGGCGTTCAGAATCTAGTGGCGTTTTTTTACAGCAATGCCTGGTTTCTGAACGCAGATGCTTTCAGAGGAACCAAAACTCAAAAGAGGACATCTAAAGGTTTTCTATAGAGCAACGCAAGTGATTGACTATTTTACAGAAAACATCTCCACACAAACAGAATGACTGTGGTTCCCAACCCTGGTCCTGGAGGCACCCCAACACTGCACGTTTTGCATGTCTCCTTAATCAAACACACCTGATTCAGGTCATCAGCTCATTAGTTGAGACTCCAAGACCTGAAATTGGTGCATCATAGAAAGGAGACATGCAAAATGTGCAGTGTTGGGGTGCCTCAAGGACCAGGGTTGGGAACCACTGCATTAGAGTTCAACATGTTGCTAATGACATGCATAAAAATACACATAACACTCAAAATGAATGGGTAAAATGGACCATTTTTAAATTAGACAGACCTGTTTTTATTGATGCGTTTCTGAAATGCATGCTCTTGACTTTTGATCTTATCACATTCTGTCTGCTTATCAGTTTCCTTCTGAGAGTCATTCGGGGACCATTATATTTCAACACAGCTTGTGCTTGTTAGATAAGTTTACTTGTATAGCACATTCATATTCATAAACTGCAGATATTCATTTTCACTTTCCCTGCCAGCATATTGCTGAAAATAATAAGTCTTACTCAGAACAGGACAATACAATCACGTCAAACATGATTGATCCTGGCTTGGCATTGCATAGTTTTGCTCGATTGGCGACCTAAAGATTTCACTAGCGCAGGAAATCCCCTGTACAGTTTATACGTATATGTGGATTCTGTTCACACAAGAAAGCTGAAGAATAGGGAAGAATGGCTTGTGGAGGGATTACCGGTGCATACGATGTCATTGTAAAACTGAAAGCTGGTAATCCCCGTAACCTTCCCACAGCCAACATGACATGCAGGGAATCGGGTTTTCTTGAGTCCTTTGGACATTCTTACGGTCCGTCTATTGTTGTTTTGAATGAACGCTTGATGCAAATCCTACTTTGGCTGCACTTCCAGGGGAAAATGTCCTGATGATCGCTCAGCATCTGCCCACTTGTGCTGGATCGCTCGGGCTGGAGTCTGAGGAGAGGGGCTACGGGAAATGGAGACGGGATCTCTGGCTGGGAGTGACTCAGTGATGACAGAAGCTCCAGATTACAGGGTTTAGGCCTGTACTTCCCTTCACACAGCAAACGCCGCCCACGCTGGGTGTGTGGGCTCTGACAGCTCTAAAAACAGAGCCCTGCTTTCCTGACCGAGAGAACAGGATTTTACCTTATGAGCTTGAGGGGAGGTGAAGCGAGTTCACACGTTGTTTGGTGGCGTTCAGAATCTAGTGGCGTTTTTTTACAGCAATGCCTGGTTTCTGAACAAAGATGCTTTCAGAGGAACCAAAACTCAAAAGAGGACGTCTAAAGGTTTTCTAGTAAGGAATGAAAGCTAGTTCACTCAGAAGTGTCAATGGTTTGGGGTTTCAACCCTATTTGACTTGATTTCTTCCATGGAACACAAAAGCAGAGTGAAAACGACCTGCACGAGGCTATGAGACTCATGAGAACCAATGCGTTTGGCATCACTGACATCAAACCTGGTGCAATATACGCTAGAGCGAGGAATAAAATAACGACAGCTCCTCATGCATCTTTATGATTTCATGTTATGGAATTAGATTTTTTGACAGTCTACTAAAAATCTCCTTTTGTGTTCCACAGAAGAGAGAATGAATAAAAAACGGAATAAATGACGTCAGAATTGTCAATTGGGGTGTATTGTTCAGTTAAATGAGAAGATATAGTTATAAAAACCATTGTAAATGTAAAAGAATAGCGGTGTCCACACCAACGGACCACACCACACCAATGTTTCAGCTGATGAACGATAAAAACTCTGGCAGCCAATCAGAATCCACTTTTGAGAGCTCGAGCATTTAAAGTGACAGACGACAAAACTGCAACACGTTTATAATGAACAGCACATGATCGTGAGTTGATGTCGTTATAGTTATCTTTATAGCTATCGTTCTTGGTCTGAACGGGCCTAAATAGCCTCAGTTTTCAAGAGTTGCATAGAATAAATATTTCATGCATTACTGGAGAACTGTGACTAAACACTCATTATATTACCTGGAATTTATAGAAGAGCACATCATTTACTGATAGTAATTATGCATCACTGCAAAATGGGCTTTCCATTGTGGAAGTGACCTGAGGAAGTAGAGCTCAATCACTCAGCGTTTCACAAGAACGTCTCAAAGACACACACCACTAACTGTGCTCATTTTCAACAAACCCATTTTTAATAACACAGAATGATGCCATTTTCACAACAAAACACAAGCTACTCTGCCAAATATCGATCATTGGAGTGGATCAATTGAGATAACCTGTAATGATCTGAGTTCACTTGTTCAGTAATGACTATTTCTTCCTCTTTTAGTGCGTAGTTGTGGATTATATATCCATACTGTGCCTTTTACATGAGCAGCAGTGCAGTGAACACCGCATTGATTTTATTACTTACTAATTGTGTCTGGAAACACTTTATTTTAAGGACCAATTCTCACTATTAACTAGTTGCTTAGCCTAAATAGCCTCAGTTTTCAAGAGTTGCATAGAATAAATATTTCATGCATTACTGGAGAACTGTGACTAAACACTCATTATATTACCTGGAATTTATAGAAGAGCACATCATTTACTGATAGTAATTATGCATCACTGCAAAATGGGCTTTCCATTGTGGAAGTGACCTGAGGAAGTAGAGCTCAATCACTCAGCGTTTCACAAGAACGTCTCAAAGACACACACCACTAACTGTGCTCATTTTCAACAAACCCATTTTTAATAACACAGAATGATGCCATTTTCACAACAAAACACAAGCTACTCTGCCAAATATCGATCATTGGAGTGGATCAATTGATATAACCTGTAATGATCTGAGTTCACTTGTTCAGTAATGACTATTTCTTCCTCTTTTAGTGCGTAGTTGTGGATTATATATACATACTGTGCCTTTTACATGAGCAGCAGTGCAGTGAACACCGCATTGATTTTATTACTTACTAATTGTGTCTGGAAACACTTTATTTTAAGGACCAATTCTCACTATTAACTAGTTGCTTATTAACATGCATATTATATACTGACTGTTTAGTACTTATAAAGCAGATATTAACATCTAGTACAAATATCGGTAACGCTTTAGATTACAACCCGCAATGTACTGTGTAAGTAAACAGAATCTACAGCGTAACTTTTTTGTAATTACAGTGTACCTATTCAGCACCTCCGTGTAGGTATAAGGTAACAATATGCGAAGTTTGGGGAATAAAGGAGTAATAATCTGTAAAATTACAAATGATTTCTACTGTAAGTATTTTGAAACTAAGGACTTTCAGTGTTTATTACTGTGTTTATTGGCATGATGGTTTGGCCATAATAGTTTAACTAGTCATTACTAGTTAATCAATTAGTCATTAAGTCAATGGGTGAAAAACATGAACAAATTGAACAAAATCTATTCTTAAACAAGTGTTTCAAAAGAATTTGGTTTAACTGTCTAAGCTGTATAAGTATGGAGTTGCTTTGCTTTTTTTCTGAACTGGTGTAACAATTTTAATATTTTATTAGGCTATCTGTTGCCTGTGTTATATTGTGTGTGATTTTAATTTTAAAACCCATTTTGGGTTAATTTAACCCAGCAGTAGGCCTATAGTAAATTGCAAACAATATTTGAATTAAATAAAACAGTCCACCATGTTTATTGATACATTACCTGATATATAATGTATGTATGTATGTATGACCTACTGTATGAACAATCGTTTCAGAGCAATTTGTTGTAGCCACTTACCCTGTACTTACATGGAACAAGGGGGGAACAAAGCACCACTTTAATTTACAGCCCACAACTGTTGTATTTTCCCTGTAACTACATGGAACAAGGGGGGAACAAAGCACCACTTTAATTTACAGCCCACAACTGTTGTATTTTCCCTGTAACTACATGGAACAAGGGGGGAACAAAGCACCACTTTAATTTACAGCCCACAACTGTTGTATTTTCCCTGTAACTACATGGAACAAGGGGGGAACAAAGCACCACTTTAATTTACAGCCCACAACTGTTGTATTTTCCCTGTAACTACATGGAACAAGGGGGGAACAAAGCACCACTTTAATTTACAGCCCACAACTGTTGTATTTTCCCTGTAACTACATGGAACAAGGGGGGAACAAAGCACCACTTTAATTTACAGCCCACAACTGTTGTATTTTCCCTGTAACTACATGGAACAAGGGGGGAACAAAGCACCACTTTAATTTACAGCCCACAACTGTTGTATTTTCCCTGTAACTACATGGAACAAGGGGGGAACAAAGCACCACTTTAATTTACAGCCCACAACTGTTGTATTTTCCCTGTAACTACATGGAACAAGGGGGGAACAAAGCACCACTTTAATTTACAGCCCACAACTGTTGTATTTTCCCTGTAACTACATGGAACAAGGGGGGAACAAAGCACCACTTTAATTTACAGCCCACAACTGTTGTATTTTCCCTGTAACTACATGGAACAAGGGGGGAACAAAGCACCACTTTAATTTACAGCCCACAACTGTTGTATTTTCCCTGTAACTACATGGAACAAGGGGGGAACAAAGCACCACTTTAATTTACAGCCCACAACTGTTGTATTTTCCCTGTAACTACATGGAACAAGGGGGGAACAAAGCACCACTTTAATTTACAGCCCACAACTGTTGTATTTTCCCTGTAACTACATGGAACAAGGGGGGAACAAAGCACCACTTTAATTTACAGCCCACAACTGTTGTATTTTCCCTGTAACTACATGGAACAAGGGGGGAACAAAGCACCACTTTAATTTACAGCCCACAACTGTTGTATTTTCCCTGTAACTACATGGAACAAGGGGGGAACAAAGCACCACTTTAATTTACAGCCCACAACTGTTGTATTTTCCCTGTAACTACATGGAACAAGGGGGGAACAAAGCACCACTTTAATTTACAGCCCACAACTGTTGTATTTTCCCTGTAACTACATGGAACAAGGGGGGAACAAAGCACCACTTTAATTTACAGCCCACAACTGTTGTATTTTCCCTGTAACTACATGGAACAAGGGGGGAACAAAGCACCACTTTAATTTACAGCCCGCAAATGTTGTATTTACCCTGTAATTACAAGGAACAAGGGGAAAATAAAGCACCACTTTAATTTAAAGCCCACAAATGTTGTATTTACCCTGTAACTACAAGGAACAAGGGGGGAACAAAGCACCACTTTAATTTACAGCC